GACCTGTTAAACTGAGTTTTAGATCTCAAGTAAAGCCCTCCTAAATTAGGTTCTGAGTTTGTTGTTGCACCCCAGAAAAAAAAAAGGTGATGTCCCTCGTTGACTGTGGGGAATGAAGGGGAGAACTTGGACTTCTAAGCTACCCTTCCATTCTGCTCAGCTACAGAGAATAGAGAAATGCTTATTACCCTGTCTTGGGTGAGTTACACAGTGGCGAGAATTTGGGCAATGTACAAAGCTGGGTTCTGCCACTCTTTAGCTGTATGACCTCAGGAAAGTTGCCTCTCCTGGCCTCAGATTTCTTATCTGTCAAAGAAGAATGATAATATTATTTACATCAGGGGTACCCTTAAGGACTAAATGAGCTAATTTTTATTACCAACTTTCAAAAGTGCCCAGCATGTCATAAAAGCTGTATAAGTGGCAGCTATTAATAAATTCATTGGGTGAACAGGGACCTTTGAAAATTTACCAAGTCTAACCTACTGCCTTTAGCCAGGACCAAGTTGAACTATACAGCAAAAGGGTTTGTCCTGTGTTAAAACTCCTTCTCAGAAGATCACAGACTTCTGTGGTCACCCATTCTACAGTCAGGTGTCTTCATAGCAGGAATTCTTTTTCAAGCTCATCTAAATGTCCTTGTGCAAAAGTTTAGGCACAATTTGTCTTCTGTAGGTCTCAGTAAAGACTGTCACCCTCGTCTGTAGCTGACTATGCCCCCTGTGGTACTGCTCTTTTCAATCTTGGCCAAGCACTAAGGCCCCATGGCTTCTGCATGTCCACTGAGGTCAATTCCTCCCAGGACATGAAGAACCCAACTAGGAAAGCATGCTCAGGTGGCTGGTTCCACCTGTCAGTACCACCTCCTTCTCTGCCCCATCTCTGGCCCTCCACTGCCTGGTTGGATATTAAGACCTGTGCAGCTTGACCTGATAATGCATGCCCTCAGACTGGATTTGTGGCCTATTTCCATTTATGGCTGTCCTTGTAGTCCTTGAAACCTGGCCCCAAGGATGCAAGCTTAAACGCTGAAGAGAACTGTAACTTGGTGGGGCACCACACAATAAACCCAACTAAATGGCTTTCAAAATCCCACTTTTGTTTCATGACTCCCTGATAATTCCTCGCCACTAGGCACCCTGTGTCTGGCAAGAAGGGACAATTTTGACCTAAAAACTTCCCTAATCTCTCTGGGGCTAATCTCTCCATTGTTGTGTGCTTTCTCTGAATATCACTGACTGGCTCTAACCCTGGTAGAGGCCTCTAATAGAAAAGCTTAGGCTATGAGCCCCAAAGCCCTTGCCATCTGGCAGCGATGTCAGTGATCCTTCTGGAACAGGTGCTGAGCCTGAGAGGAAAACTGAGGCTCAGGGAGGTGATTCTCCTAAAAGTGAGCCATGCCCAGGCAAGAAGAGAATCAGAAATGAATCCCAGGATGCCTGAGTCCCAGAACTATATTCTCCCCATGCTAATGGGTGACCCAGAGGGAGCAGAAGGTATCCAGTGAAGAGAAAGATCTCTGCTGCCCAGTCGTCTGCCTGCCTTCTGCCCACTGTCCTGGCCCACCTCATTCTTCTTAACCCCTGGCCCTCTGGCCCCCATTCTCCATTTTCTCTGACTTCCTGTAGGTGTCTTAAAGGGCTATTCAAGCTACAGCAGGTAGCAGGGAGTAGGAGGATGCCCAGGGAAGCACAGACTTCTTGGCCAGGACTGCCCTTCTTTCCAAGGATGGAGACTAAATAGAATAAGAGAACTTAGTTCAAGTTCAGAACCAACAACATTTTCTGTTCTGGTTTGGTTTTAGTGCTCACGTTTGAGACCTATGTAGATTTGATTCTGGCTTCACTGGTTTATTAAAAGATTGGGATTGCAGGCAGGAAGTTTTTAAAAGCTTCTGGTTATGGGCTGGGGTTGTGGCTCAGTGATAGAGTGCTTGCCTAGCATGTGTGAGGCACTGGGTTCAATTCTCAGCGCCACGTATAAATGAATAAAGTTCATGGACAACTAAAAAAAATATTTAAAAAAAAAAGATTCTGATTAGGTCTCTGATTCAGTAAGAAGTGAATGATTGGGATTGGTCCCAACAGACAGCAGCGGCGTGTGTCAGGGTGGTGGCTGGGTCAGCTCCAGCTCCAGTCTGGCCACAGTACCATCTAGTCCCAGGGACCACTGAGGGAGGGCCAGACCCGTGGCATTTGTTCTTCCTTCTGACTTTGTGTCAGACCTTCTGGGGATCCAAGCCAGGGCCCAGGCTCATGGAGAGGGTGGCTGCTCCAGCTGGCAGTGGGTCAACCAGCCTCCTAAAGGAGGAGGTCCCGGGCCAGGCCTGGGCCCAGAGGGCTGCTTCTACAACTCCTGAGCCAACCAGCTTAAGGAGACATAAATCTCCCTGGAGAGGAGCAGCTGTCAAGGGAGGGTTTCTCCTTCAGAGGTAAGGTATGGTTCAGAGTCATGCAAGAAGCAGACCCTAAATTCCCTAGGTTGTAGAAGACAGAAAACTAAGGCCAAGCCAACCAGAAGCCATGGCCAAACATCTTCCCTCTACCTCCTACAGTAATCGAGAATTTTTGTGAGTCAGTGCTACCACATTTCTGCAAGGACCTTACAGAAATTTGGCCCTGTCCATCCAAAGGAGAACCCTGCTTTGAATGATAAGGGGAACCATTTTAATCATGGAAAGTTTTCCCCAAATAGAGACTCTGTTCTTCCTTCTGCTTAACTCTCATAATCATAATTGCTCCGGGATTGAGAATAGATGCCTCAACCCCAAAACATCATAGCTGACTCTTGGAGTTCCCCTCTACCTACCCTCGTGCCCCCATCCCTGGAAGGAGGGGCTTCAGTGATAGTTGTCGAGGCAGCATCTTTGAATGCTGGAAGCCCCCTGTGAGGTAGTAAAAGGATAAGGATGAAGCTTAGGAGAAGGTAGAGTCCAGCCCACAAAGTGAGGTTTCCTCCTCTACTTCAATCCAGAGCCCCCCAGTCACCCACCAAAGCAGGTGAGGAAGAAAACATGGTACCCCTCACTCTATGCCTTGACACTAAGCCACTGTACCCATCCCTGGAATCTAGGCCTACGGGCCTCAGGCAGGAATTTGCTCTGTCTATCACTGAGAACTCCAGAGCCAGAACTTTCCACCCCATTAGGGGCTCATGGTCTGCTTTCCACTCACCCCAGTCCAGCCCAACCCAGCAGTGCAGATCATGCCCTGAGAACACACACAGTATAAGAAAGGAGAAGATGTATTCTTCAGATTTTCCAAAGAAAATGTGTTTGGCCTAACTTTAATTTAGCAATAAAAAATCCAGGATACTCCATCAGTTGGTTCACCATCTAAGTTCCTTTCAACACACATGTCTCAAGTATTCCCTTTAATCCATCACCAACTATGTCCCCCAGCCTATGCAGGCCCTCAGAGAGTTGCAGGAGAAATAGAAAACATAGTCCTATCTTCAAAGCTTTGGCAGGACTTATGCACATGGGAAGCAATTAGAAAACAATTCAAATAGATGGTCAATACATGTTAGCTAGTACACATACAATGAACAAATCAATTGATTATAATCCTAGGACAGGATGTCTGGTAGGAAAAAAGCATCAGTCTAAATGTCATTAATAAGCCATTAGAGAGGCTGGGAAGGCTTTCTGGAAGAGGTGGGGCCTGGGCTCCAGGGTATCTAGGTGGGCAGAAGACAAAGTAAATGGGGGGGGATCGGGGAGGGGGGAACAATGGTCAAGAGTCAGCTCATACTCTGGGAAAGGAGACTGGGGATGGAGCACAATCTAACCAAGAACTTCTTGCCACCAACTTTTTTTTAAAATTTTTTAAGTTGCTAATGGACCTTTTATTTATTTATATGTGGTGCCAAGAATCAAACCCAGTTCCTCGCACGTGCTAGGCAGGCACTCCACCACTGAGCTACAACCCCAGCCCATGCCACCAACTTTCGCATGACTTTAGGGACCTCTCTCTCTTTTGAGTTTCAGAATCATGTATATGGGGCTCAGCCTGAATTAGTACTTCTCGTATTTCTGTACCAGCAGAAGCAGCAGCACCTGAGAATGGGTTAAAAATGCATGCCCATGGAGCTCATCCCCCCCCAATCTGAAATTCTTGGGGTGGGCTCAGCCACACATCTTACCAAGCCCTGCAGGCAATTCTGAGGCCACTCTGATTGGAGAATATTGGATTTTATTCACTGCTTCTTGACCCTGGCTACTCATTAAATTCATCTTGAGAGATTTTAAACCCAATGAAGATGCCCAGGCCCCACCCACAGAGATTCTGATTAATGCATCTGGCCCTGGCATTCATATTTTTAAAAACTCCCCAGATGATACAAACGTGCAGCCAGGGCTGAGAAACCCTGGACTAAAGGACAACCAAGTCCTTTCTGACTTATTGTCCTGGGATGCACTTGGACAGAAAGAGCCAGGATTCCTAGATTACCACATCCCACTGGGTGGACTTGCAGACAGTCAGAACCTATATCTTGGGAAAGAAAGACATCATAATGTCCAAAAATCTTGAATCTCTTGATGACCACTTTTTGGTGGTTTGTATAATTGCCCAGCATTTCCCTGTGTCTGCCTGAGGTAAGGATACCGTGTATAGATGTTGATTCTCCCTTTCCATCCACAAATAAGTGTGCCCAAGCTCGCACTAACTTGCATATTCATATATCACATACAGCTATAAATATCTGTAACGTACACAAGAATAACCACATATAGATAGTCAGAATTATTCCGGAGGGCCTATGTGCACACAAAAATAAATCCACCATCAGAAATCCCAGCCAGTGCACTCAGATGGCTTAGGAAAGTATTCTCTGTATGGAGACTGGGAGGTTTGAAGTAAGTGGTGTTTCTGGCTACAGAGTAGCAATTGGGAGGGGTAGCAAGGGTTTTTTGAAAGTACTTCTTCTAGGTAGAAGCAGGTAGCCAATAGGGAAGGCAAAGTGTATACATGCTAAGGATACCCTTGTTTCTCTTGCAGATTCGAGCTGATGGTCCCCCCCATGGTGGGGTCCAGTATGAGATGGTCTCTGTGCTCAAAGATGGGAGCCCCATCCTTCGGGACATGGCCTTCTCCATTGATCAGCGCTACCTATATGTCATGTCTGAGAGACAGGTAAGTGCTGCTGCCAATCCATATACCCTTTCCAGACTCCAGGAAACTGGTTAGTTCAGAAGCTGTTCCATCTAATAAGGGAGACCTCTGCTCTTGCTGCACCAGGGTCCCGGAAGAGGCAGAATCCCTGTAGGATTTTGCAGGGAGCCACAGGGAAGCAAGCCGGGGCCAGCCACTTCCCGGAGGCTTCTCTCTAGGCCACAGCCCCTGTCTCAGCCAGTGATGAACAGCCCCGCAAGAACAGGCCAGACTGCATGGAGCAGCTTGGTGTGATTAGGAGGTAGATTTACTGCTCTCGGGCCCACAGAGTCTGCTGCTCAAGGGAGCCAAAGAGGTGTAAATAATCCAGGCCTCCAGGCTGGGCCTGCTCCTGAGAGAGACAGAACCAAGATAGGGCCCCAGAAGGAGATAAAATCTTGGCATGAGTCTTAAACTGGTGCAGGGTAGAAACTGGTCAGCTCTGGGAAGCTGAAACTATGCCTGCAGAGATGGGGAATCCTACAAAACAGACTTCTACCCTCTGCTAGGTAGCAACTGAGCAAGTTCCTCACCCTTAAGGATGGCGGGGAGGAGGATTACTCCCCCAGATTGTACTCACTCTGAATGTGTGGCAGCCCAGAGAAGGGTAATGCAGGAGGAGCTGTGGTGAAGAAAAGAAGCAGGGAAGACAGGAGATTCACCAGATCCCTGTAGATCCAGAAAATCAAGCGAACACCTAGTTTTCACCAAGACTGGTTCATTCCATTCACTTGGTCAGTGGGTTAACAGTTGTTAAGCTGCAGCAATGGTCTTTATCATTTTCCTGAAAAGGAGAAGTCAGATAAAGGTCAAAGAAGGATTAAAAAGGATTATGAGTCTGTCTCAGCAGCTGAGGATACTGACAGAGGCTGGAGAATTGTGCTGGGACTAGAGGACCAGCCACTTTCACAGGGTGCCTCCCAGCTCCTATGTCATTCAGAATATTCTGCCAGGATTCCAGTGTCCTTGATCAGCTTCCCCCTTCTCCGAGTTGTCTTTCCCTCCTTTGTTTTTGAATGTAAGGGATCTGAATCAGGGGATGTGGGATAAGCAGAAAAAGTAAGAAAGGGGCCAGCAGGCACATGACAGCTTTAAGGGACGCAGTGATGCAGTTCTAACTTGAAAATTACTTCTTGAGAATAGATGACACAAATCATATGCTAATTGCATGCAAATTACATCCAGAGCCTCTTGAACCCACCTGTCTTTTTTACCTTCTTTCATGTGGCCCCTGCAATGGAGGCATAAACAGGTCCAGATGGGAACTGGGAGGAGCTGGAGGACGCTTTGCCTAACCTAGAGTGGGTGAGAGAGTCTTGGAAATAAACACCAGCCTATCATCCCAATAAAACAGGCAATAGGCCTAAGAGAAACCATGACTGGGCACATATTTATTGGAGACAAAATACTGGGAAAACATGAAAAGGAGTGGGACTTGATCTCTACCCTGAAGTTGGTTACCATCTAATGAGGGAGAGAGACAGGTACCCGGGTATCTATGACGTCAGATTGAGTACTATGGATGCTCTGTGTTCTCTTCCTATTCTTCTTCACCTTTAAGACTGAACGTTATTTTTAAAATAAAAATAGTAGATGCTTACCTGTTCAATACCAGTTCAAGCATTACCTATAGACAACAGTCTCAAGTCCACCATCCAAAATTAACATCACGTTAACAGGATCCTGAGACACTTTCACAGGAATACGTAAAAGGCTGGTGATAGATGGCAACCTACATAGGTGGCTAAAGAAGAGGAATAAACCCACAGTATGCATGATATTTTTTGAGAGACATGCTGTATGGCTCAAGACCAGGCAGGAAGCTCTGGGTAAGAGCTCTCTCTTGGGTTTTTTTTTGAGTCCAATGTAGTGAAAAAGCAGAAGCAGCAAATGGAAGTGACCAACAAAACCTTAGTGGAAACTGAAAAAGTTCCAAGGCACATTTTGGCTGCATGTCCTTTGTCAAATGGGATGCTTTTGAAAATGCATTCAAAATAGAACCAAAGAAGAGGCGCAGGGTCAGGGCTAGAGGCTGACAAGAAGGCTTGAGGATATAGAATGATCTTGAGTTCGTGTGTGATGCCACGTCCGAGAGCATGCCTCCTGGTCAAAATACAGTTTCTCTGTAAATATCCTCTCCTTTGTCCTCATCCTCTGCTTCAGGTGTCCTGTTCTTTTTCCAATCTGCACCAAGTAGGTTGAGTAGTAGCCAGTTGCAATGAGCAAATGAGCAGATAGAGGAAGAATGTGGATTTAATGCCATGGGGCTGTCTCTGGCCAAGTGAGATATTAATAGGGGAGCTCTCTGTACCAGGTGGAGCTGCAATCAGGAGGCCATGTCTAAGGGGGATTTGTGGTGGAGCTCTGAAGCCTGTCACTTGGACAGCCATAAATCGTGTAGAAATAGGTAGCCAGGTGACTTCACCAGGGGCTGAGTCCAGGGAGGAGGGCCAAGGGCAGCTCAGGAGGCCCATCTGTCTGAAGCTGGCTGAGCACAGAGTATTCACAGACAGCCAGGACCTCTTCAAGGAGGCAGTTTAATGTGTGGTTGGAGAACGGTCAGTAAAAATTAAGTCAGATGTCCTGGATTCTAGTTCAGCTTTTGCAATAACCAGTAGCATGACTCACGGCTTCCGTTTCCTCCTGTTTGAGTTAGAGGAGTTACATCAGATAACAGATTGCCTCTGAAGTCTACAGTTCCAATTCTGGCTGTTCTATAGCAGAGAGGCCTTAGACAAGCCACTTAACCTCTGTGAGTGTCACACAAGGTCAGGGTGAGACTCAGTTGAGACAATAGCTAGGGAAGTTCTTCTTACTCTGTCTCCATGCAGACTATGACTCCACTGGTCATTAAGATTCTACGTGGCTTCTTCCACCTCTTGCATTCTGATTTCATTACTTAGGAGAATAAATACTATATGTGATGATTAGGAAGCTAAGTGGTTTGTGACCCAGATAACAGGCCCTGCCTTTAGTTCCCCAGGTGACCTGGGCTTTTATCTTCTCAGGGACTTGGATTTACCACATTTAAAGATGGAGATGAAAAACCTGACTCAGATGTCCTTTTAATTCTTGAAGAGTTCATTGAAGGTCCTGGTATTGGGACTTCTCTTTTTGCAGGTGACATCAAAATCACCACTAATAAGCTTAAAGTTAGAACAAAAGAACTTGCTGAAAAAGAGGTCTGTGAGGTTTTCATGAGCTTCTTCCCTAAACAATGAACATTACAGAGAGTAGGAATGCTGGTTTGCTTATGAATAAGTGTATTCCTGCGCTGAGGCAGTGTATTAGTCCTTTTTCCATTAGCATAACAAAATAACAGAGTCTGAATAACTTAGAAAGTGAAGAGGTTTATTCAGTTATGGCTTTGGAAGCTGAAAGTCAAAACAGTGTGGCCCAGGCTCTGGCAAGGGTCTCCCTGACTGCATCATATCATGGCAGATGATATCACAACAAGAGTGTATGCAAGAGGAAGAGCTCGCATGACCAGACAAGAAGCCAAAGAAGGTTGGGAGGGGCCAGGCTTGCTTTTTTATAACAACTCTGTTGCAAGAAATAACCTGGATCCTGTGAGAACTACATCAATTTCTTCTGAGGAAAGCGCCCTCAATGATCAATGTATATGCCACTAGGGCCCACCTCTTAAAGTTTCTACACATGAACATCTGGGGGATACACTCAAACCATATCTAAACCATAGCAGGTAGAAATTTAAGATTTTGGGGTTCTCTAAAAGTCCTAAGACCTTGTGTGACATCAAGGGAATGGGGCTTCCAAAAACTTCACTTTATAACAAATCTCTGGGTAGCCTAATCTCATCCCTTCCTTCCACCCTATCCACGGCACTTACTTTTCTCTCTGTACTCACCCCTTCTCCAAAACATGGCATCTGTCCTATCCTTGAGACCATGTGAGAGTACAGCGTAGTCCCTGGTCTCACATTCTGCAAAAGGGGTTCTAATCTGCCCACAAAGTTAACAATCTAATACCAATATAACACTCGTTCTCTTCTCTCTCTCTCTCTCTCTCTCTCTCTCTCTCTCTCTCTCTCTCTCTCAATTAACTAAATGTAATTAAGAAATAGGACTAGTAGGAAGCGTTGGGTCATTAGTGCCACTTCCTAACAAGTCAATGTTAATGTACTGTTAATAGATCTGCGGCTGGCCAGTCCCAGGGGGAAGTTTGGGAACTGATTCCCCAATCCTGCTGCTAATTGCCCAGGTGCCTGGCTCTTCTCTAGAAAGCCCGCCCCAGACTCAACAGTGAGTCAACAGATGTCACAGCATGACTCCAAGTTGCACCCCTGTCCTCAGTGTCTCATGGAAATCAGACAGAGAGTACAGGGAAAATCAGGCTACGGGCCAAGTTAAAAACCAAGCAACAAGATGAAAAAAGAAAGTGAATGGCCCTAGTTTCCCCCCAACTTGTCAGGCTGGCCACTCCCAGAAAGGGAACACCACTCCGTCCTCGGGGTGGATGAGAAAAAGAGTATGGGGATGGAAGCAATTATTCTATTTTATACTTTAATTAGTTTGAATTAGCAGAGGGAATAGAGGCATAAAATGATCCAGCGAAGGGTGAAATGGAAAAAGGGAGTCACAGTGGAGAATGGCTCCGTGCAGGCTGGAAAGAGCCTTGGGAATAGCAGATAGGCTGGCAAAGGGTGAGCGTGTTGGGAGCGGGTGGGGGACGTGGGATTCTGCTCTCTATTTCTAGGCGTGGAGGGGCAAAAGAGCATGGTGGTTAAGATCTGGCATGTGAAAGTGAGATAGACTTCATTTTCATAGCTTCTTGCTAGGTGGTATATGGCTTTGAGAAAGTAATTTGACTTCTCCAAACCTCAGTTGCTTCATCTGTGTAATGGGACTAGCAGATAGGCTAGTAGTTGTGACTAGATAAGTCACCTAGTGCCATATCTGACTTAGTCAATGCTTTCAAATGTGATAGAAATTTATTAGTAGTAGTATCAGTACTAAAACTTT